AAAGAGTATTTACTCAGAATTAACATATCTGGGTAAAAGAGGGTGTAAACCCATTGATTTCATAGTAAGATTTGTTTAAACTTTATTATGAAAGTCAGGTCTGTTCACTCATGGTTAATATGATTGTGTCTCGCAACCCTTTGTTATTTAAAAGTAATTCTATTTTTCATCATAACGGAATCTACCGAAAAGAAAGCAATAAAAGTCTGTCACTCTGAATGCCAGAATGATTGAAAATAAAGCAAAAGCCGTTGAATAGTCTTATGATCAGAGAGGGGGAAGCGAAGCTATTTGGTGTCCTGATCTGCAGGATGCTCTGCAGGATGTCATGCTGTTTGCTATGAGTGAATGGTAGCATGACACGTTCCAAAAGCAATGTAGATTGGTTTGATGGTATAACCTTAGAGTAAAAATGCTGCCACTGTATTGTCATGTAACTTGACCTGTGCCTAATAGTGCCCTGGCAGCCCAGACGTGCTCCAGGCCATTTCATTCTGAAGGGAGGGGAGGAGAAAGTCATACATAAAATAATTTTTGCGTTTTCAAAAGGTTAATTTCATTGGCTAAAAAAGTTCTTTTGTTTTTAACTCCTTGGTATGCCTGTAGGTTTTGAGCTCGCTGTAATATGCCATTTTTGAGTGGTAAAGGTTAAATTAAATGAAATCGCTTACGTACTCTTTTTGAAGTAACAGTTACATTTTCTTTTCCTCTTCTCTATTTCTTATGTGTTTCACTTCTCCTGCTGTAGGAAACAAGGACTTCTTCTGAGAGTATTATTTCTGTACCTGCTTCGAGTACATCAGGTTCCCCAAGCCGTGTGATCTATGTGAGTATTTCACAGTGAAATGCTTTCTGTGGGATGGGGAAACCCCTATGCTTCCTCCTACAGTTTAGCATGTTGCATGGAAAGTTAGTGACTCCAAACCGCTGCAGTTGGTGATTCCTCTAAAATGGAATTTACTTTCTCACATTTAAAATGTTTGAATACTGCATTTTCCATAATAAAATTCTGGCAGTTTCCTCTTATTTTTTGTGGTGTATTTGTAGCACTTACATTATGACTAGAGCTGGCTTATACCAAAGCACGAAAAATACCACAGTGCTTTCTAAAAAAGAAAAGTTTAAGTAAACAGTACAGCCCACAGGTAGATTACAAGCTTATATTTGAATACAAGTCGAGCTCTTGAGCCTGCATGTGATTGCTTATGAAAACACTCATGTGTGTGATTGCAGAACTCGGGCCTTGACAAATGCCAGTCCCTAACCTCAGAGAACCTTTGATGTGTTTATGGTTTAAGAAGTGCTAGCTCTGGAAAGCTTGTAAAGAGAATTTAAAATAACAAGTATGATAAAAGCTAATGCTGAGTATTTTTTCAATACCAGTTGTACCTCACTTGCGATAATTTCTGTAGCTAATGTTCATGGCCAAATTCTCAAGGCTGCCACCAATAGGTAATAAATACCTACAAGTGTGGCATGATCCATACAAACATCTCTTGGAGAGCTTCAGTATTCCCAGGGCTAATCTTTGTCCTGTCCATGTATCCCTCAGGTAGGCAGGTCATTTTCATCAGATGGGACTGTATGCTAAGAAAATTGCTGAAGATGCAGTTGACTGCTGGAGACTGTATTGTACAAAGATTAGCTCTTTTATCTACAACACTAAGAGAAGCAAAAGAGGGCCTTGGAGCCAAACTTGTCCTTTTTCTTGAATTAAAAATTATTTTGAATGCAATATACCCTTTATCTGAGTGAGATTGAACTAGAAGTGAAGGAACTACCTCTTATCTAAATGCTCATCAGTGTTTCTGAGTTCTTCCGGTAGAGCTCCATGCTGCTGGATACCAGTGGTATATTTCCAGTAAAAAAATGTCATTGCCTCAGCTCCTCTGAACACAATTCATTGTGCTAGGAGCCTATTATCATATAAGCACTTTTTTTGGCCAGATGGTTTCTATCTGTCCAGCCGTGCACCACTTGTTTTTATAAGCATGAGCATTCCTTTCAGATTTGTATGTTTTTAGTGACATTTATCTAACTGTTGGATGCTATTTTTTCTTGATGTTTGTGATTATAGCTTTAAACATGCTTCACAGGCTGTTAAAAGTCAAGGATGACCTCCATCCTCTTTTTCTGTTGTGGTTTTTTCTTTTTTGTTTTTTTTTTCCAAAGGATATCATTAAATCAGCACACAACTCTAATGTTTGTTACTGTAATATATGCGAGAGGCAGCTGGGACTGTGAAAGAATAAAGTTGTCTAGCAAATATGAGTCAATTAGGAAAAAAGATTCCCCAGAGGCTTGCAGGTTCTTGCTGTATCTGTCTCATCTTTGACTGCTTAATTGTCAAAGCTGTGAGATTGATTAAACCCTGTTTTGGCTTTCATGAACAGGAAAGTAAAAAAAGGATTAAAAACATGTTACTGGACTTCTATATTATAAAAATGATTCTTTGGATATTTTTCACATCTGTTTTCTATTACAGGAGTGCTATGACATGCTCAGAATTTGTCTTGGGTGCTTTCATGATTGGTTTTACCAAACCTAAATTCATGCCGCTGCTGAAAGGAAGGTCCCACCTATTTGTAGCCCTGTCCCTCTGTGGCCATGCTTTCCCATCTCCTCTTTGGTGCTAGTACTAGTGGGTACACAGAAGTATGATCAGTCAGATTTGAGACTAGATTCAGCTAAAAAATAACCCATGAAAAACCTCCAGCCAACCAAAGAGGGAAAAAAAGACCCAGGCATCTACATGTCTTCTAATGCTAACGTAGAAGACAGAGCAGAGTGGAAAGGTACACACAGGATAGCCACTTTCAGCAGTAGCATGGATTTGGATCATTAAAACCAATAGTTAAACTGTACCTTAACAGTTGGTGAGCTCTGTGAAGTATCATGTTGGACAAAAGAGAATTTAGAGAAAATGGTTAAAGCTTAGGAAACATGAATTCGTGGTGCTCACACTGTTAAAGGCATCAAGTCAGAGCAATGCTATCATTCTGAATGAGATGCCATCTCATGGGAGATGTGTTCCTGGGTCATGGTTGAGTGGTCAGCTAGGGAAAGGTGAAGAAAGTGTGTTTTGACTAAACCTGAGTGTGATTCATACAGGTGGTTTACTAAAGGTATACCACTTTTTCTTCATCTGTTGATATCAGACTTTGATGTCTTCTTGCACTGAGAGAGGGCACAGGCCCGTGCCCTTTGAAGTTAATGGGCATCTTTTCATAAACTTCAGTGATGGCCTCATTATATCCAGACTGAAATTTACCCTAGTGCTGATATCCCCTCAAAGTCCCTAAATACTACTTAAAAATGAGTTGGTTTCTAAATTATACCATTAAGTAAGACTTAAGTAAAGATCCTTCTTTATAGTTAGCTAAATTTTATTAAGAGAGAATTAGGTGCACTGATGTAATATATCCAACTGGAAGATTCAGGTTAGGTTACATAACTGCATTGTATGTTCTCATACTAGGAATAGAAATCACGTTACATTTCTTTACAGATCATATTCACAATTATACAATTGTAAAATTATGTGTTCCAAATGAAATAGATACTCTAAACTTAAAGCATGGTTTTAATGGAATCCAAAATATCAGAGTCTTGAATAAATGGCTTAAAACCTCTTAGCTGTAATTTGAGCCTTCCCTAGCATGTTTGAATTCCACTCATGTGTTTGAAAGTAGGTGAAACAAATAAAATGAAAAACAGTATAGGCAGAATTGAGTAGAATTTTGTAGAACTGAGTGTTTACAAAGCAACTGTATCTCTAAGGTGTTTTTTCATCCAAATTTGCCTACATTTTGATATCTAAACTGGAAGGAATTACGTAACTAGATAAGTTTTACTCCTGACACTTCTGAAGTCTAGTGGGAAGATCTCAAGTTGCACATCTATGTGGAGAGATAGGGGCTAAAATTATGTAATTCACATTTAAATATTCCTAATTCTGAACTTCTTTGGGTTCTCTTCAATAATCTCCACAACCCTGGATACCTTAAAAAAGAAATTATCACAACCTCCTTGGCCTTCCTTGTAGGTACAATGCTGCCCAAATTCTTCCTGGAACAGACCTGATGGACAGACTTCTCCTTACCTCTGCCTCAGAGTTTGCCACTGGCTTCTCAGTAGGGAGGGATTTATTTTCATTAAGGGGCTGTTTCATTGCTCTTTAACTTCTTAAAGTAGCTGCCAGGAGGGTGAGATCTGTAGATCGCTGAAGAATCACATATTTGATTAAACCACATTTTTTCATTAGTTTTGAGGATGAGAATATGTGATGGTTATGGCAGCTTTATTCCACTTTCTTAGTTAAGAGGAATCTTCCTCCTTTCCGTGTTGCTTACATTTGCACAAAATCATACATTGATTTAGAAAAAAGAGATAACTGAAACTTGTCACACTAAGTTTTTCCTGTGTGATTAACTTAATAGAAAACTTCCCTGGAAAACCTATTGAACTTTTGTTAGCTTATACTAAGAAAAACTATAATCACTGCACATATAAATCCTAGATACTTTCATATTTTTTGCATGTGGAAAATATTACAGTTTTATAGCTGATCATACTGAGATTTTCAGAGAATAGCAAGATTCAATCATCATTTTGTTGCCAACAAAGAGCTTATCATTCTGCAAAGCCTGAACTGGGAATGAGACAATTACGCTGCCCATTTCTCCACTCTCAATGTGGCCAACTTGTCATCGTATGTACAAGACAGTACATGCTGGATACCATTTTGGTGCAAGTTACCATTGTCCTAAGAATAATGTGTGAGAATGTGGCATTTTGATAATTATACTTTTGGAATGAGCAGAATGGGGAGTGACAAAGCCCTTTCCCTCTGTTGGCTGTCTGAGGCCCATGAAAGTATTTGAAATTTACTTAAGTGGCATCTGTGATCTTCCAACTAATCCATCACGGTGCAAATCCATCATCTGCTGGTTTGTGACCCATAATTATGGGCTACTCAGACATAGTTAGGAAAGGAGGTGAATCTGTGGAACACAGCTGAATAGGAAAAATTAAAGACCTGACTAGTGTTTTTCAGCATCTGGAGAGTATATGTTGGAAATACGTATTTGATTATTCAGTACTGCTTCTGGTAGGGGAACCCTGCACACTGAAACCACTTTAAAGGGAAGAGTGTTTTGCCTGAAAAAGACTACAATATCTGTCCCCCGTGTCTCTCTGTGCAGCTAGCAGTAAGCGGGATATAACCAAGGGGACTGTGCTGATGCCGTGCTACTCCTGTTAGACAAATGTGAGTGACAAAGTAGAAAGCACTAGTATATAAAAAGAAAACAGCAGTAATATTTAGCATTGTGTAGTAAATATAAGAGATTTAAACGTGCACAAACGGAAAAAGTAGTTTGTTATTATGATGGTGACTTTTCTGCCTGCACTTGTCTGTCCTTTTCTGATTACATCCTGAACAAATTCTTTCTTATCCTCACTGCTTTCTTTCCTCCTTTTCTTAGGCAAAGCTTGGAGATGAAATTCTTGACTACAGGGATTTGGCTGCTCTTCCTAAAAATAAAGCCATCTATAACATTGACCGCCCAGATATGATCTCCTATTCTCCATATATCAGTTACTCTTCAGATGACAGGCATAGTTATGGGGAGGTACTGAAACATGGGTATTCTTTTTACTATGGATTTGAGATTTTATGTACATGATTGAACATGTTGCTGAACACTCTTAAACATGTGCATAATTAAAAAAACCCAACTAACTAACTTTTACAACTTCAATTAATTGAGTCATGTCATCCATTCATTCACAAGGCCTTCCAAAAAACAAGCAAGATGTTCATTTCACTTTTTAGTTTGTGGAAATGAAAGAATCGCTTTCTGTGATCAATTTTTAAACAGATGACATGTAATTAAAATATGTTTTTCTATGAGAGGAGTTCTGTATGCATGCGGTAGGAAACAAAAGCCATTGCTAATTATAATGCAAAAATCAGAAGTGAAGCCAAATGTCTTTCATGAATTTTTTTCTTTTTTTTAAAGTGTACCATGTTATTTTGGTAACACAATAATGGTATCACTTTCCTGTGTACAAATTTCTTTCAACTGTCCCTTACTAAAGTTCATCCTTATGTCACACATGCATTTCAGCCTATTCATATGCAGAGCTAATATTACACAGTTTGTGCTAATGAAATCTAATTTAGCATAGTCTTACTAATACTACTAATTCTGTTTTTTATGAAACATGTTTGTATATAACTCCTGTCATGCAAGTTAGCTTTTCTTCCCTAACCATATCTACCTTTGATTTGAATTTCTGGTTTCTTTTATAAATTTAGTTATGTTTTTACAAATCAAACCTCTTGGATATACTAGGTATATTAGCAAGATATATACATTCTAGAGTAGTCCATATATAGAAAAGTCTGCTTTGTTCTCTATAGGTGTAAGTGAACAGGTAGAAATAAATGCTATAAATAAAAGACATATGATTTATAGTAGTCCTAGTCCTGCTATCACTTACACTTTTTACGCTTAACCAGTACCACTAAAGTCTCAGTACTACTCTGAAGTGCAACCCATATGTTAGGTTTTGCAGACTCGCTTCCAAACCCTCTCTGTACAATGCTGAACCACAGGAGTTCCGTTATAATGCATCATAAAAGAATTAAGATTGTAGATGGTATTTAGATTTCTGATTTCACAAAACCAACACCTGCTGCAAAGCCCCGAACCTATGGAGTGTAAACTTTCTGTGTCGAAATTTGTGGGTTCTGGTAATGTTGTGGCCCTCCTCAACTGCCCATTTACATCTAGGCTTGGCAGAAGTGACATCTGGGCTTGGCAGAGGTGCATAGACTAAACAACCTTCGCCCAGCTCCTGTGAGGACTCAGTCATTGCATCCATTCCAAGGTGGACAAATTTCAGCATCCTGGCTACTACCTGAAGTGCAGTAGTTTCAGTAGACTTGCTCAACTAACCAAACATAGCATTAATTTTGAAAGGAAAGTGAGTGAACAGCAAATTGTCAAATTACATGATATTTAATTAAAAATTAAATAGGACAAATATTTTGCTTTCCCTGAAGCCAGCTCTGAACAACAAAGTTCTAGTCCAGATTTTGGAGGTGCTTCAGTGCAGATTTAACTGGGGCTTGTGTGTAGTTTCAGGCAGTTGCTTTGAATGGGAGTTTCCCTACTAGCAGCACTCTCTGCGGCACAGGACTGGCCTCACCAGACCCCAGGATTTTGTAGCAGAGAAATCAATAAAAGCTTTATATGAGATTACTTACATTTTTTCCTTATTTACTTATTTAAAAACAAATAAAAAATGCCCTAACTTAATTGACAGGTGTTTTTCCTGACTGTATCATGTGTTTTACATGGATATTGATATTTTAAGAGTAGTAGTTCTCACAAGTAACATCATGCATGAATTTGTATCACTAATTTGTTGTGTGTTGCTGTTTGCAGTCACCTCAGTTGCTCTCTCCAACACCTACTGAGGTAATCCCCAATGCCTTTATTCTCCTGTTCTGACCCATTTTGTGATGCATAAACCTGGTCACATTGATAACCAGCAGTGTCTGAAATGTGGGTTTGCCTCCTGCCTCTATAGTGCATGGGGTTTTATAATTTTTGTTTTTCACAGTGTTACTTGTGTTGAATACGTGCTCTGCTTCTGGATTGTCATCTGTATGCATCTATCTGCACTGTCATCCATGTTTTTGCTTTCCAAAATAAAGGTTGTATGGTGGTCACTTCTTCAAGCTCTACTAAATAAATTACGTTGGGAAATATGATTTATGTTTATATTATAAAGCTGCCAGCAGGAGTTGACTTGAATTAATGCTCAGTGTAGGTTTCTTTTCTTTTTTTCTTTTCATTTTTTATTCCACAAATAGTTAAACTGCTTACACTATTTGTGCACACATACTGTTAAATCATTTGCACGTACCTGAACTTCTAAGTCTGCATATGTTGATGTGCATTAATGATCAAAGCCAGTCATTGTTTCAAGAAACATCACCTTGGAAGCAGTGATAGTGTTTCACATAGTTTCCTAGATGGTAACTCAATTACATATCACAGGCCTGGCTAGTTTCTCTGTTATCCCAATTTAATGTATGGCACAGATTTGGTAATAGTGGAGAGTTGCAGATCTTCATTAAGGATTGTAAATCACAAACTGTCACTATAAGCACTGGTTAAACAGAGAAGTTAAACAATAGGGATGTAATTTAATTGATAGTTTAAAAATAAAAATGTGCTTTATTTAATATTGGATTTTAGGAGCTTGATTGACTATTCCTTACACAGACACAAAGTACACAAAAAGTGTATGAAATCTTGGTGTGTTGGCACATTATAATAATTTGCTTTAAATTAGCTATGAGGTATCAAACTGTCAATACTATTAAATTCTAAAAGTGACTCTGCTATGGAGGCTGGTGTTGCCGTGATTTGCATTACATGGATACTCCCACATTATCCAGCTCTGCCATGCTTGCTGTCTTTCTCTATGTCTAGATGAGCTCTAGAGTCTATGATGAGGTGCTCAGGCATCACCATCTGCAAACCTGCCACTGTTTTTTTTGCAGGGATTTTTATTAGAGGAAAATTCCCATGTCGTACAATTGTATACATCATAGACCATTAGCTAACACTCATATGATACTTAAATATCATCAAAAAACTTTCTAGAGACGTTGGTATACTGCTTGTAACTCTCTTCACAAGGGTTAGAGTGGATATTAAATAATATAGCTGCTTTGGGAGGGAAACTTGTCTACAGAACACTGCAAGTTTGAGAAGGCGTCAGTTGTTTTTTGTTGGTTTTTTTTTTGGTAGAATTTCTTCTGAAATTTATATTAAAGCAATAATGCTACTTACTACTACTACTATACAAAACTGATTTTCCATTTTTGAAAATGCAGTCAGTACATCTGGGGTGAGGTGAAAGGGTTGGAGCACACCTGAACCAGAGGTGAAAAGCTGATGATGGGAGAACATTGTATATCTCTGTAGAGTAAAGGATAATCCCAGAGAAGCCAAATTCATCTGAAGATGAGTGGATGGATAGAATTAAATTGTCCTGATAGGAACCTGGGAGATGATGATGGGGCTAAGCAGGATCTCCAGTGTGTTTAAATGATGAATGACCCAATGGAAGTCACACAGATTTCATGTCAAGTGGCTAACAGCTGCTAAGGTATAGCGTATCTTCACTCACTCCTACTGGAACAGGAGAGGTGAAGCATTTTCTGGAGTATGACTTTCCATAAGGGAGCATCTCCAGGTTACATTGATTTGTTCTACTTTGAAGTTAACTCAAGCAAATTCTTGCTTGTCTTAAAAAAACCAAGAAATTTGAATTTGCTTTTATAGCTAATTTACAAAAAGTCATTTCCACATCTAATTCACTCAGTAATGGATTTACTGTTAAGAAGAACTACATGCAAATTGCAATCGTAATTTAACTAGCTATAGAGAGGCAGGGATTTGGAATGGGTGTACATGATTTTAAGTGGTTGAAGCCAAGGGTTTAGCAGGAAATGGGTTGTGTGACTTGCCTTGCACAATGCTGCACTATTAATGCTAATGCTATATATGGGTGTTTATATCGGTTACCTAGATAGTAGTGACCACGTTGTAATATGGTACACTGGGCAGTTTACACAGCAGACACAATCATTACTGTGATGTAATGAAGCCAACAAATGCTGATTTTTGTGTTGCCTGTAACCATTACGCATCCGTTCTTATGGGTACAGAGTGGCTGTAGTACTATCACACTAACCTCATCTTCCACCCACCTGTTTATGTTCAGGGAATTACACTGTCCTGAAATAACACTTCTACAGTGTTACGTTCTTTTCAAATGATATTGTCTTTTTTAATTCATGTATGTGCTGACTTTCCTGGGAACATGACTGTTCTCTGATACTTGTCAGAGCTCTTTCAGTCACACTGCAGTGGAGATGCTTGCAGCTGAAAGGCATCTCATTTCGTTGGGATTGTATGGAGCGTTACAACAGCATTGACTTCCATCTACATGGCACAGAAATGTGCAAAATAGCATATTCTGCCTGTTTCGGAAGTTATTTCTCTTCCCTAATGACATATATTTCCTCTCCTTCTGTCAGGGTGACCAAGATGACAGATCTTTCAAGCAGTACAGGACATCAAGTCCTAGCTCTGCTGGCTCGCTGGGCTATGGTCGCTACACTCCAACCTCCCATTCTCCTCAGCACTACAGCAGACCAGGTAATTGAAAAGCAGCCTTTTTGATTCTCTAGATTTTTCCACTACTTTGTCTTATGTTGTAAGTAGTGTAGACTCTAGTAGACAGGGGTTTAAGGTGAAGTAGCAGTTCATTGCAGTGCTTTATTTACTGTGAACAGAGAGTCCCATGGGGAGAAAGGAAACAAATGCTTCAGGAATAAGCATATTAGAAAATAAAAACAGACATCTAGAAAGGTTGGTTTTATGTATCTGTAAACAGAAGATAGAACAGTTTAAAGGACTTAATCCTGGTCCCGTCCTGCCTGAAGCTACACATTCAATCCACAGCTCTTTCAAGGTGCAGCATGGTAGCAGGAAATGCACAGAAAGCCAAGAGGGTGATCGAGTGACTTTGTATCCCTTCTTGTACTGCAGGGTTATAGTCCTTGTCTCCTCTCCACAGTGCAAGAGCTGGAGGAATGGCTGGATTTTGAAGGCCAAGTTGCTTTAGTTGAGAAGTGTACAGCAATGTTTATTGCAGCTTTGGGCTGTAGTAGCAGCTGTGTTGGTGCTCTTGTCACACAGAGAGGAGGGATCACCTCCTTTTGATCTTTGCATGGGAGTCCCTTACAAAAGCGCGTTCATATTTGGGCATTGTACAGAGTTTTATCCTTGGAAATAATCAACTAAATTGCTGAAAATTAATTCTAACTTTTATATACTCCATCATTTGGGTGGATAATACAGAGCATTTAAATTATTTTCTTGGTGTCTTTTAATTTCATTTGGAATACATTATAATTATGGGAAGTTGGGAGTTCTTAATCTCTGCAGTGGAAGTTAAAATTCTGCGGGTAACAGAAACAATTTTTACAGGAATAACGAAGTTTTTGATGAAGTGGAAATGAGATTGAGTATCAAAGATCTATTAAAGAGAAAAAGGTTTAGTCTCCAGTGAAGGCCTGGCAGCTGTGTCATGCTTAAGCTTAGCTGCACACTGTTAAAACAAGGTGGAAAGGCAAAAGAAATTTCAAATTAATTCCAAAGTTTTACAGCTTCATTGAAAATTTAGCAGGTAGTCATCATAATTGCCATTTTTAGTAATTGCTATTGGTCCACCAAAATATGTTATCAGGATATTATTACAACAAAGCAAACAAAGATGGCTTTTAAGAATGTTTTTCAAAGTACTTAATCACATGTCTAACTTTCAGAGCTCAAATAACTTCAGGATGCTTCTTCAAATGCTTAAATTAGCCATGCACTTGAGTGCCCTGGTGCTTTGTGAACTGAATCCTATCAGTGTGCACTGATGGCAGTGAGAACTGGACCCACTCGTAGCACAGTTCTCAGCAGAGACAAGGCTCTCCCCATTTCATTTCATTAGATCCATTATGAGCATATATCATTCCCTCTTGCAGCTTTTGAATATGCCAGATTTTCCCCTGAGTGCAGCTATGCTTTTTGTGATGCCTTTTCTGGAATATTTTCTGATGCGTTACATTATCAGCATTTTATATGATACTGCTTCTGTCTGTGGAAAGCCCATGTCCCTTGGCCAACCGCATAGTATGGCTGCTGTGATATTTTTAGCAATAACCAGAGAAAGATGAAGTCTTAAATATAAACTATATGTTTTCTAAGCATCAGAAGGAAAATGTTCCTGAAAAAAGGATGGCATTGTAATTTGTGGCTTTCAGTAAGTGAACTAAATAGTTTATTTTCACTTACTCTCTGTTGCCCCCAGCTGGTACTCAGAGTCTTGGTACCAGTAGCTGCATCTCCCTGCCCCAACACCCAAGCCCTACATCTACATTCAGACATCATTACATCCCTTTCTTCAAAGGTAAGGTCCAGGAATGCAAAACCGTGCTGTGATACTGTAGACTTATTCAGATGTGTTTCACTTTTATGTATGTGCAAGCATGGCTTCCACTTGGATAAAATTTGTCTTATTTTTGTGCAAGTGCTCTCTTGATGTACTGTGTAACTTTTAAGAACTGAGTGGGTATGGGTTGTTTTATTTTTGCTTTTTTTCAGTGAGCGTTAAGTGTCTTTCAAAGGGGTGGAGGGAAGGAATTAGCTTTTATAACGAAAATGAGGGAGGCAATAGTTCAAAATTATGCTTGTTGTAAAATACATTGTTTACCTTTACCCTATTTTGGTGATGCTAAATAAATATTATAACCAGCTTGTACATTGGATCCAACATTGGATGATCACAGTTATACAACCTTCTAACTTGTGTTTAGATATTCTTCATATTATTTGTAGCATTACCAAAAATTATGCCAGTTAAGCTGGTTAAAACAATAGAGCTGCACTGATTAGCAAGTAATCTTTGCCATATATTATAAAACAAAGTCACTGAATCTATTTTCCTTGCCATTAAGTTGTTGGGGTTTTTTTGCCGTGGATATTAACTATTAATGACCTCCGTGTTGCAGATGTGTAATGCCGTGAACCCTTGAGGCAAAGGCTAGTTTCCTTAGCTAGTTAATTAAATGTCAGAAAGAGAAGTCATTCAGCTACCGCATGTGTCTTCTCCTGAGTCTGTCCTCTCTAGTAACAATATGAACAGGGAGGAGACATGAATGGCAAACATTTTCAGTGCCTGTTCCTGACTCTTATGTGCTGTTTGATTTAATAAAGCGAAACTGTTGTTCTTGCTATCATAACCATCACAGAAAAGGAAGTGACCCTCTGCAGGAACTAGACTTGGAAACTCAAGTGAATAGCAGGCGCTCCATTGCCTTTGGAACAATAACTAATGAATCTTCATTGGGCCCTAATACATCCCGGAACAGTTCTGCCCAAAGTCAGCTGAGTTTCACTTGTATAAACAGGAACAGAATCAGGCTCGAGTCTTCCAAATATGATCCCTGAGAGAAAATTTTGGAGGGAAAAGCTGATGAGATTCAGCTGTTTGTTGCCATTTTAAAGTCTACCTGGAAACTCCTTCCCACAATCACAAGTAGTCACACACAACGCCATCTCCCCATTTCCTAGAAGGCAGACACTCACCCTGGTATTCTCAGAGGCACTGCTTGAACAGTTTTTTGATTTTCTAAATTTGGATGATCTTATCCAACCTGATGCTCTGAGTAAGAAGAACCTCCTTCGTGTGGTGCAGTGCCTAGTTTCACTGTATGGAAAGCCCTTATTCGAAAGCCCACCTGCAGTTGCTTAGCAGCACTCCTGTTAAAATGAGTTTCTATTCAGTGCTACCTGCTGTTGCTCGATCAGCGATTACTTAGTGCTGCTGTTTGAAGAAAGAAGTCCTCAAGTGGCAGCTCCTTGTCCCCAAACAATTATTAGTAGTGTGATCAAAATTATAATATTTTGCAATTCTGCAGCACTTTTTATCAAGGAGCTAAAATAATTTGCAAGCAGTAGTTTACAAGGCTTCGCAGCACTCCTGTGAGGCAGACAAGCCTGTTTATAATTTTCCTATGTAGGTAATTCTGAGCACTGCAGAGGTTGTATAGATTATCCACTGTTTTACACTGAGTTAACATTGCAGTCCAAAAGGAGTCAGAAGATTTGCACCCATCCTCTTCAAGGTCTCTAAATTCTTTTCTATGAGTTGCAGACTGTATTTTTTTCCTTATCTAGAGAAACCTTTTGAGGGTGTCAATGAACTATTCTTTTCTCTTCAAAGTGGATAGTGTGGGAAGAGTAGGATTGTACCAACAGTTGCTTTGTATCCAGACCAAGGTTAATGTTGCCACTTCAGTTTTAAAAAAGCAAAATCACGCTCATTTAAAAAAAAAATTATTAAATCCCAAAATAATACACTGCTTACTAATACTAGAAGTAATCTTTGTAAAACTAGCATTCCACGATAGTCATAAAAAATATTTCTTTAAGCTTCCAGGAGACAGAAATACTGCTACTCTAGGGAAATAAACAGGCAGAATCTTCCTTTTGATTTCACTGAGTTTGCATAATATTCTTCCTGAGAATTTCATGGTTCATTTTTCCAGTGAAAAATGTGATTACTGACTTCATGTTCTTTCTTCAGTGTACTGTAGTCTAGCGCCCATGAAGTGTAATAGAATTAGCTATTCTTTATCATGCAGACAAATGATTTCTTTGTGCTCTTTTAAGGATTTTGTCTTCAGAATCTGTTCAAAATAAATCCTCTGACAGCCTCACTTCAAGAAAGCTTCACTGTTCATGCCCTTGTGAATCATAGGGTGTGATATTCCAAGTACCTATGCTTGGTGTAACTCTTCCTTTTGAGCTGGTGAAGTCAGTGAGCATACAGGCTGTGCTGAGCCCTGCTGAGAAAATGCTTACTTAAAACATGGTGGAAAGTATCTTGCCTTTCTAGTGCAGGAGCACAGCTTCCAAAGCCCATTTATTTGGCTTTGAAAGCTTGAAAAGAATTAGTCATCAAACTTCAAAAAACTTTGTCTAACTTAATGCACCATGTGCAGAGATATTAAAGGATCCAATTTTGGGAGTAGGCTCTGATATCTCCCTCATTAGGCCAGTGGTATCTGTTTGTTGTTCAATCTCGAACTTGGACAGCTCTTACTGTAACTTGTTATCGAATTTCTCATCCTGTCAGATAAGATAAAAGCTGACTAGGAAGGAGATATAAACAATATTACACTTTTTCAGACAATTGCTTGAAAAGGGAGCATGGTCTGAGCGCTGGTCAGTTGGCTCCACACACACAAGGTTAAAAGAGCAGCCTACCCTGTCAGCAGCCAAAAGACACAAGGAAGTTTTTGTGGTTGACACTCAAGTTCAAAGTAAACCTTTCCAGATTTTTTCCAAGTTAAACAAAATCCAGGGAAGGGTCCATGATTCTGGTTTTTTGCTCTGCATTGACCAGTAGAGCAGATCACAGCCTGCAGCTGCTTGTGGGAGAAGACAAAACCAAAAGTTTGAAAAATTGCTCTCTCTGGTAGTTGTGTTTACTCTGAGACCTTATTTGAAGTTTTTCCTCAGTGTATACCAGCCAAACCTTGAAAGAGACAAATTCTTGGCAAAGTCTCATTTTAGAGGTTTTAATTATAGGCTAGATTAAATGACCGTCTGCAGTTCCTACACATGAACTTTCTACATGGGTCTTCAGTTTGTTTTATTATTAAACACTTATTTTTGTATACAAAATGTGAAATACAGCTACTCTTGTGTGTTTGTCCAAATCAGTGGTAGAATTAAATTTTAAATGTGCATCAGCTTGTACAAGTGGGCTGCAAGAATCTTTTCCCTCATTTAATCCTTAATTCTTCCCTTTTGAGCACATTGGAGGTGATGGCTTTGCAAACTGCTCCACATAGATGATCCTTGCATCGAGCAGTTTACAGATTTGCTGTCCCCTGGTACTTGTGCTTGCATCCTGTTTTCTCACAAGTTTATTCCTCTAAATGCTTCCTCCTAATTCCTTGCTGACACTCTACCCTATCCCTGAAGAATTACTCTATGTGTGTACGATACCAGCACCTTGGGGTCACTGCTCAGTGAAGTGATTCATACAGGTCATATGTGAATATGTGTTTTTAATAATATGCTAATTTTTAAGTAAATTAATACACTCTGAAAATCACTTGAAAACTTTCCTTTTCTTTTTAAATTAAAAAATTTCAATAGTATCATCACATGGAATGAATGACATTACAAGATTTTTAAGGTTTTTGGAGTTGTAACAGACCTTACTTAAGTGGGTCTACCACTGCTCTTTGCATTCAAACTGGGAGTGACATTGAAGCTTCTTCCATTTAGTAGGGATGGCCAAGCATTTGAGCAGCAAGCAGCAAAGAGAAAGGGAATTAATAAATGAGCAGTGAAAACCTGTCCCCACTTCTTTCCTTCCAAGAGCAAAGCAGGAATCAAGAAACTGAATAACCGTCTGGTTCCTTGTCTGAGGACAGCTTGACTACAAGCTGGTGGTGATGCACCAGATTTTCAGTAATTCCAGAATTCTTCCCTTACTTTTTGGAAGGACTGTAGGCTATCAGCATGTGCAGTTGTGATTTCATTTTCTCAACTGCTCAAATTACATTCTTTTTGGTGAGAAATCCCTGTTATTGAGTACACAGTGGTAACAGCTGAATACTTCTTGAATTTCAGTTTTCCAACTGTGAAAATAACACACAAAATTTCAAACAGATTAGTTAGTGTATCGTCATGAGATACACAGCACGCTCTTCTGACCTCATCTGGCCTGTTTCTGCTCCTGTTGAACTCAGTAGCACTACCCACTGGCTTCAGTGGTGCATGTCAAGGCTGGCTTTGATGACAAATTGATGACCATGTATCCACTACTTGTCAACAGAGGCAGATACCACCTCCATGGGCATGGCCTAGACAGTTACAGTAATCCAGTAGTTTTATGGTTGTAAAACTTCCCCTTCCTTAAGGCAAAACTCAGTTAACAGATCTAGTGCTCTGAGCTGCTGCACTTTCTTTACCCCCAAAAAACTTGCTATAATGTCATCGTTACTAGCCATTAAACTTGTGCTTCATCCACACTAAAACAATAACAGTGAATTAACAACCATTTTATGTTGGAATAAATGTCATGTTTGGCTTCCAGTTGCTTAAAAGTGCTGTAAATTAATAGGATTTTACAAGTCCCAAAAAAGTAGAGCTTTACTTTTTTGTTTGCCAAGCAGCGCTATAATGCCATAGAGTGTGCTTTCGGGAAATAAGCTAAGAGGCAATGAATGGCACCTAATGAGTATTTGACAAAACAATTGGAAAAATGAATACGGATCAATCCTACGTATATCTTGAAATTTGACGAAGTGACTATGGCATTATAGATCCATGACTTGATAATCCAACCTTGTTTGCATAAAGGAAAAAGGCTGTGGCATGTTAGCTGTGGGAAAAGTTTGCAATTAAGAACTAAATTTCAACATCTGTCCTTGTTGCATGCAGGAATATTCGACTTAACCATAACATCTGGGTTTTGGTCTAGTCCTGCTTTGAGATAATTGAAACACTACTGAATGATTTCATTACTGGTTTCAGGGGTAGGCCATGAGCCATAGCATTAAATTTTTAAAAATCTTGATTGATAGATTATTCAGTTAAGTCTGTGCAAAACACATTGCAAGATTGTGGATGTTCTTACCCTTTTATTTTCTTCATTAAAGTGTTGTTGAAAGAGAAGTTTTAGTTTCAGAGTAGGGCAGTTTGATCTGATACTATCTATCAGATATCCATTATTGATGAGATGTTTGGACACTGAGCCAGTACACTGTGCTGAAAAATAATGGGTTTTACAAAAACCATATATTTAAAACTGTTGGATTAACAAGTCATTCTGAACAAGCTTTTATGCTTGAAATACTCTACTTTGCTTTCCATTTTTTTCTTTTATCTGCTTTCTTTGCTCTTCCCCTTGGAGGCAGTGAAAGTGGTCGGAGCACTCCAAGTTTATCCATGTACTCAGACAGCAAATCTTCACCTTCTGTCTATCAGCAGGCTCCTAGGCATTTCCATATTCCAGGTAGGCATACACTGCTTAGCTTTTAATCTTCAATTGCTGGCACCTGTTTATTCTCTCCTGAATGTAATTTTTCTTTTTTGCATCAATATGTGAATTTTGAACTGCAAGAAAAGAAAATATCTGATAAGTGAAAATCAGTTACCTGTTGAACTTCATCTCAGAAATAAAGGAGTTAGAGAGCTGTATGCTTACGTAAAAAAAGAATTGTGTTAGAGGAGGCGCACAGTGGCAAAAGTTATTAAGCATACAAAGAAACAATTATTTATAGTGCCATGGCTGCCCGTCACATCTGTTGAATTTGTGTGCAGGAGGGAAGATTGAGGGGGGGTTTTGGATTTGTTTTTTTTTCCTTATCCATCTACTTTCTGAATTAGAGAGTCATGTTAACACAGACTTTAAATATAGCTGGAAGACCATAGAGCTCCAGGAGGCTCACTGTGGCTGTGTCTGCATACGTGCTATACTGTTTTCAGGTTGACATTCAGTCAACAAGCACATTAAATTTAAGTCCACACTGCTTAGCTTTTTGACTGCTAAGCACATCTGCCTGCTCAGTGGAATAGTTTTATATTTATGTTTAGCTTCTGGGGTTAACATTTCTGTAAACACACCATAATTAGGAATTATACCTGCTCACGTCTGTAGTACTAAGTAAATCTGATGTCTGTACAACATGACATGGGAACCCTGGACTGTGGGTCTGGGGGCTTTCAAAAAATCCCCAGAAGGCCAAGTTAGCGATACAATTAAAAATATAGACAAACTATAGGATTTCCTGTAAGAATATTGGGCATTTCTAGTATAAACATGTGTATCTGAACATGTCTACTTTTTTTACAATTAATGGAGAAAGTCCCTTTTCAAGCGTGACTATTATAGTAGCCTGTTGTACCTGTATATAAATTTTGTTTTAGGTAGTAACAAGTGTAGCCAGCTTCTCTTTGTTTCCAGTGAAGTATACATTGGTAGTGCAGGTGTAACCAGCTATATTTCAGCAAATGGATGCCATTCAAGGTGTCTCAAAGCATTTTGAAGGACTTAGGGGGGATTATGCTGCATAGGTAGGTATAGCCAATGTTTTAAATATATAAAGATGATGGATAAAGCTTCATTCTCTTTTAATAACCAGTGAATGTCAAACCACTGAATGACAAACCACTGAATGAATGCATAGTCTTTGCTGAAGTGTTTGCATTTTTAGTGTTGTTGAGAGGAGATGAGCAGCATGGTCTGAACTGCTTGCTTACTCTTTTATTCTTTCCTTTCTCTTTCCTCTTCCTCAGACACTGGCGTAAAAGATAACATCTATAGGAAACCTCCTATCTACAAACAGCATGGTACAGTCTGCCTTTCTCTGTTGCAATTTTCTCTACCTGTCTTTGTAAAGAGATGCGTATTGACTTCCAAATTAATTTGCTGTAGTCTTTGCATTTCATTATATCCCCATATTCTCAAATAGAAAAGGAAAAAACGTAACGTGAAAATTAAATAGCATTTCATATAACAAGCTGTCCAAGAATTCAGTAAGTTCTCTCAAACTGGGATAATGATATTTTTGTTTGTCTTGGTAATTCAGAGCTGATACTAAGTTCAAAGTTATGGAATGATATAAAACATGTAAATGTTGATGATTGCTCTCCTGTTTTCAGACCATGCCTTGGGGTCTCTAGTTCTTGTAAATAATTCTGACTTCTACATTGCTGGGGAAAAAAAATGGTCATTGATAAGTGGTAGATATGAGATACCTATTTTTCATCTGCAAGTTCTTCAAGCTCTAAAACATCAAGAAGAAATGTAGTCACACCATGGCAGTTAGGAACAAATTTAGTAGCTGATAACATCAGCAAGATGTGATTGGAAGACCTTTTGTAGACCCAGCAACAAGATTGCTGTCTGAGTTTCTGAACAACAGAAAGAAATATGTGGTGTGTTATGCCACTGAGAATCTGACATAAGACACTAGTAAATATGAAAAATAGAAATGTAAAGTCTGCATTCTTCTATTTTTTTTTTTCTGTATATTTCACTAATTAACATCAGTGCAATTTCCACGTTGCTGTCGGTGCCTACTGTTTTCACAGCTATATTTGACAATGATCTTGGTTCATGATACAGTATTAGTAATAGGAAATTCATTTTTCTAAACTGAATTCCAGTAATAATCTTTGGAGACAAATATGTGGGGATTCTGCCACAATAAGGGTGCCTGAAAAGTACAGAAGTACATTTCTGATTAAAAGAGTCATGACTGGGGTACTCCTCTACTCAGAAGCAAAGGAATGTGTGATATAAATCTGCCCCACACCAAAAACTGTTTTAATCATGATTGCCTTTATTTTAATCACAATTGTGCCCCTACTTGGGAAGGAATGAGAGAATAAAATAAACATGAGAGGTGTTCATCACATTGTGAGCTAAGGCACTTTGGGAATGAAAGCATGTATCTTCAGGGATACAGGTGGGAGAACAAAGCTATGCCATTCTTCATGGCAAGGGAAGGTCCAGGCTGCGCCTGTGAGCAGTGTCTCTGTTGGAGCAACTCCTCCCATCTTACTGCCTTCTGCAGCACTGTCCACACAGAGATGACTTCCCATGGTGCACATAAGAGTGAGAAAGCTGCATGTGTCTGTTCTGCCATACTTTGGCTTTAGCTGATAGCTGATAACTTTCACTGAGTGAAAAGCTGGGGAACTGCAGATGCATCAGATTTCACATATTTTTCCTTTGTGATAACAGGAGGCTTTAACTGATTTTAAAATACAAATTAACATAGTTTTAAAAATTAAAAAAAATGTATGTAGTTATTTTTATACTATCTTTCATGGAAAACGTCTTTTGGATGAATCATAGAATCATAGGAGTCATAGAATGGTTTAGATTGGAAAGGACCTTAAAGATCACCCAGTTCCAACCCCCTGCCATGGGCAGGGACACCTCTCACTAGACCAGATTGCTCAAAGCCCCATCCAGCCTGGCCTTGAACACTGCCAGGGAGGGGGCAGCCACAGCTGCTCTGGGCAACCTGTGCCAGTGTCTCCACACCCTCACAGGAAAGAACATCTTCCTAAGATCTAATCTAAATCTCCCCTCTTTCAGTTTGAAACCATTACCCCTCATCCTATCACTCCACTCCCTGATCAAGTGTCCCTCTCCACCTTCCCTGCAAGCCCCCTTTAAGCACTGGAAGGCTGCTAGAAGGTCTCCCCGGAGCCTTCTCTTCTCCAGGCTGAACAACCCCAGTTCTCTCAGCTCATCCTCACAGGGGAGGTGCTCCAGCCCCCTGATCATCTTCATGACCCTCCTCTGGACCCACTCCAGCAGGTCCATGTCTTTCTTGTGCTGGGGGCCCCAGAGCTGGACACAGCACTGCAGGTGGGGTCTCACCAGAGCAGAGTAGAGGGGGAGAATCACCTCCCTTGACCTGCTGGCCACGCTTCTTTTGGTGCAGCCTAGGATGCCATTTGCTTTCTGGGCTGCCAGTGCACATTTCTGGCTCATAGTCAGTTTTTCATCCACCAGCACCCCCAAGTCCTTCTCCCCAGGGCTGCTCTCAATTCACTCATTGCCCAGCCTGCATCTGTGCTTGGGATTGCCCCGACCCAGGTGCAGGACCTTGCACTTGGTGTACTTGGCCTTGCTGAACTTCATGAGGTTTGCACGCACCTGTCCAGGTCCCGACAAAGTTGTTAAACAGCACCTGTCCCAATACCGACCCTTGTGGAACACCACTCGTCACTGGTGTCCACTTGGACATTGAGCCATTGACTGTAACTTTTTCGAGCACGACCATCCAGCCACTTCCTGATCCAGTTCTAGTTTGGATCTGGTACAGCAACAGCAGAAAGCAAATTGTCAACTGGTGTCTCCCGACTGAATGAATCGACATGAACATGCACAAGTCTATGCATGTCACTGTAACGGGTGCTTCATGTTAAAGTAACTGAGCATTCAGATTATCCACGTTTAGATAACCCCTGTGGTTTTTCTGTGTATGTTTTTGAGCAAAGTCAGACTTGCTGATGTTTCAGTGCACTTTAGCTGCTGGTCTTTGATAGACATTTTCTGCTCACAATATCATAATCTTGGACAAACTAATGTTACCTCTCAGGCAAAAAGATAGTATCTGTTTGGTTTAGTGCTTGATTTAATGTAATCTGCTAACCTTATAGTCTGCCCAAGCTCTCTAATTCCTTCTTGTCTTTAGATATACAAATCATTTGAGGCAATCGCTCAGGCTGGGCAAAAAAAGATACTGACAAAGAAAAGCGTTGGATATTGTAGTGGTGTTTGGAAAGATCATAAACAAATGCAAAATCTGGTGTAAATCTGCATAGCTTCACTGATTTACACAAGCTGATAATATGGCTCCTATGTCCTGTATCCTGGCTGTGTCATTTCATTTTATAGATATTTTTGGTTTGCAAAGAGGATTCAAAGCAGCAACTTTTTTTTTCTTCCAAGCCAGGCATTTTTTTATCTATTTTCCATCTGTCAGATATGCAGTCGAAGTCTGGATTATGTCAATTTTGCACTGCTGTATGGAGTTGTTCCTTGTAATCACTGGAGTGAGAGGAGAATTAAATTACCGAGTCAGCAATCTCTATAGGTTAACAAGGATATATGTTTTAAACTTTCTTTTGTAGATTATAGATGTTTTGAAAGGTTGTGTTGAAAATGCATGCTGATTGTTTTTCTACTGAAGAGCAAAACATAATTTACTCTAACTCAAAAGAAAAAAAAAAAAAACAGTGAACTTTCCTTCCAATTAAAAAAAAATTAAAAATAAGAAAAATAAATAGAATTTACCTTTTGTTCTGGAAGAACTCCTAGATAAAGCATGAACACATGAGCAGCTGATGATTCAGCTCCTCAAGCTAACGGGCCACTGAACTAATAAATGCTGAAAAGGAGCCAGAGAACATTCCTTCATTGAAGAGACCAAGTTTGAACAAACAAGCACAAAAATGTTCTTTAAAACAAAAACTGCAAGAAGCTCTTCCAAAACGTTTGTCTTTAAAAGGTTTCAGTTACAGCAGTGCCCAACAGATTTGCTGTAGCTACAGCTTCTGTGTTTCTATTATAAACACCCAACTTCAGAATGAAAAAAAGGTGGTGGAAAAATTTGAGAGATCAGGCTGAGAGCTGGGGTTGGAAAGTGAAGAGTGTGGGAGCTGGTGTGGTTGTCCTTTTTTGTGTGTTTGTGTTTCAGAAATATTTGATCACTCAAAGTTTAAAAAAAAAAAATTGAAGAGGTTTGCTCTTTGGCAATATTGGCACTGATCCGCATGAAATGTAGTTCACATTGGGGTTCACAGCAGAACCACGTATCCCTTGTAGTGGAGAAGTTGATGCTCAGTACTGATGGAATTGAATTTAGGCCACTTGAATTTAACTGCCAGTGATGTGTTGTTATATGAAGCCCTCTCAGGAACCTGGGAGGGGCAGGCCTTCATGGCCCCCCACTGATTTGGGTTGTACTCCTTTCTATTGCTTTGAAGTCGGATGCTCTCAAGATCCCATGGAACATTTGAAATCTCTGAATAACACTGTGGATTAAACTTGTTTTTTTTCCTTTGAAAACATTGAAGGCTCTTTTTCAAAAAATGCATCAGATTCTCTGTACGGATTTCTGATTTAGTGAGAGCAAGATCCATACATATAACCTGGAACAACTTGTTGACTGGTGATTTATGGTATGCTCCCAAAATATCAGTGAACCACTTTTAAGTCTTTGTTGCACTGTAGGGACTTTATTCTTCATCTGTTATATATGGATAATATATGGATATTTCTTTCTATTTATTTCTCAGAGAAGCAGATTGCCATCTTGGGAAAATGCCCTCATCAGTATGCTATTACCTAACCGTGAAAACCTTCGGTTTTTTCATAATGCTTTTTTTATTTTATGGCCCAGCTTTTTTTTTTTTTTTTTCACATTAAATTGAGAAAAAAAACAAAACCTCTACAGTTACAGGTTTTCACCTCTAACCTATAGATTTTTCCTTACTGTAATTTGCAATTTTTTAAGTATCACCTCCTTAACAAAACCGGTTAAGGTCTGGATGTAAGCCCTGTGATGGCACCGGAAAATGAAACAGAATAGCACTGAAATGCTGATGGTGGTGGCCTTTTGCCCACGTTGTTTAGATGCAGGGCAGGTCATCTGCAAACATGCTGGCTGGGGAAATGGAGAGGGGAGAGTTGTTCTCCACTTGCCAGGAGTGTTGCAGCACTTCTAATGGTGCAACTTAATCTCCTCCCCAGCTCTGTCTCTGAGAATCTTATCTGAGCCTTAACCTTTGCATTATCATACTGTTTTTATTATTAATAAATACAGGTTTTGTCTACATTGTGTTTCATGGGGCTTTTGTGTTGCCCTTTTACTCAGGTGTTGCAGACTACACCCTTGTTATGATGATTTCTCATGGGCTTAAACTTATGCTAGATCGTTGCATTACTCCAGTTTTGTACTGTTAAATCTCTCCCTCAAAAAACAGAGTGATACAAAGGCAACTAGAACTCAGATTGGGAATTTATCTAGAATTATGTGAAATTTGGCACAAAAACTTTCTGTAAGATTCTGAGGTGTAATTCAGTGTCTGGAACAATACTCTGGGGCATAAAACACAAGGAAAAACACATTTGATGGTTGGGAACTATCTAATGAATAACTTTTAGGTTTTCAGTTTTGATTTTCTTCGCAGCAAGTTGGAAAGAAGAAGATTAACAAACAGAAAAATATCAGCAACTTTTTTGTTGTTGTTGTTAAAAGACTCTTTAAGAGGTCAATATAGTCAGAAAAGTGGTTGGTCAAAGAAATGTGAATTTTAGAGTCTGACACGGTCTCTCTTATAGATGTCATGAAGAAGTAATACCAAATTTGTTCCTATCTTCTTTAGCATCATTGTCTATCCTTTTTGGGATAATGGCAGTCCTTTTAGGAGGCCCAGGTGTGCAGACCACCAGATATCTATGTAACCACGTGTATTTTCATGCTCATGGTAACACAGAAGAATGGGGAAATGACTGCACTGTGTGCAGTGACCGTATAAATCTGTCCCTAACTTATGAATCAGTTTTTTTTCCCAACAATCATTCCCCAAAAGTAGTTTCTACCTAAAAAGATAGGTTCAAAATGCATCAGGAATAGATTGTCTAAGTTCACTGTACACCTGAAGGATGAGTATTACTGTAATAGTGTCAAAATTATTTTAAGTCATTCTGTGAAACCATAGCTCTACAGATCAAATTTCCTATCCAGCTCTGGTTTTGGGTTTTTTTTTCCCCTCTTAAAAATATTTGGAACATAACCACAGTCAAAACAGGAGACAGAAAGTTGTAATCTGTTCTAATGTTTAAAATTAACTTATTCTTCCAGCAGCAAGAAGATCAGAAGGGGAGGATGGAAGCTTGGATCAGGACAGTAAGAAGGTAATGATCAGAAGGAACGAAAGGGAGTAGTTTATTGATCTTTCTTGAAGCAACTGTTTTAAAAACCATGTTCATACTTAAAGGTATTCTTTCATATGTCTGAAATAATCATTACTACTTTTACGTCTTTCCAAGAAGATACAGAAAAAGCTTAATCTCTCAACCGGAGGTTTTAGAACTTCCATTGTACATTAAAGAAAGAAGTAGCGATATTAAGAGCAATAAGCTCATGGATTTTCACTCAGTCTCAGTATATACATTGGTGATTCAGCCAAGACTGTGGACTTTTACTTAGGATGAATATTAACATACCAGAAAAATGTTAACAGCAGATTAATTATAAGAAAATTACATAGTGCATCTTCTAAAGTGGGGCTCAGTGGGCAGCTTAATTAACAGAGAAACTATCTTCAGCCCAGCTGAAAGTTACAAGTTTTTGGTAGCTGTGATTCAAAGTCATGATATAGTCAACTCTTATAATTTGATAAATGCTGGTACAAGTTGAAATGAGCATAAACATACGATGAGTTCACAAGACTTTCTAGAGAGGTGAAGTAGGAGAACTGCATTCAGATGTTAAATCCTGAATCTTGTAACAGACTTTTACTCTCAACAGCTGAAGACCAGTTGGCTTACTCTGAAAGGAGATATGGACACCAGAACTAATTCCCCGGATTCGGATACACGGTCCCTGTCTCTTACTGCCGGAACTGACAGAGAAAACTTCCCAAGGGCACAGGAGGGCATGACTGCTGGCTATTCCCGTGAGTACTGCATCCCCTGGCCTGACAGCGTGGCTAAGTCGGAATATGGCAAAGGAAGGTGTCCCTGCTGCAGCCTCATCCACATAGCTGTCTAGTTGGCTTTAAGCTTCATATTTCTATCATCATTACACCTATTTGTTAGTTTGTTTTGCTATGGCTTGTAAGTGTTCAGTGCCTTCAGACCTGGATAATGAAGCTATTTATAGTTTCATATTGTGAAAGAAGAAGCGTTGCTTGTTTAAAGAAACTGTATTGTCTCTTTGGAGAGCAGAGGTTCTTTACCACAAAAATCTGCCCTTCATTAATACATAAAAGTGCCTGTTTATTATATGCTATCTGTTTTCAGTAGACAGGATAGTAGTGTCAGGCAGATTGTTGACTTGTGCTAGTGTCTCCTTGATACAAACTGTGTATTTTCTATATTGGTAGAGCCAAAAGCATAGAGAACACTTTGCTCCAAAGATTAACTTAGAAAAGGCATTTTTGTTACCGTTCACAGTTACACCTATAAGTTCACAAAAATCCTCCAGGTGCGATAATGGGATAGTTTTGTTACTAAATACTGATCTGAAGACCATATGCCCATGCTACTTGTCAGCACCAAAAATGTGTTTTACACATTTCTTACTCCATGTTTTAGCAAGTCAGGAGGTGAAGGTGAAGGAAATAGTCGTCAGAGTTGGGTCTGAATTTTATTTTTCACAAAATCACAGAATGTTAGGGATTGGAAAGGACCTCAAAAAGATTCATCAAAGTCCCTCAAAGGGACCTCAAAAGATCATCTAGTCCAACCCCTCTGCCAGAGCAGGACCACCTAGAGCAGGTCACGCAGGAATGTGTCCAGGCAGGTTTTGAATGTCTCCAGAGAAGGAGACTCCACAGCCTCTCTGGGCAGCCTGTTCCAGTGCTCTGTCACCCTCACAGTGAAAAAGTTTTTCCTTATGTTAGTGTGGAATCTCCTACTTTCAGATTACATAAATGACACAAAATAGGTTAAATCAATTTTAACAGATAATTGAGCTGTTCTTTTCCCTGCCTTCTTCACTTTACACCATACAGCAGGTCATCTGGGGTAAACAAGTTGGGGAAGCAGTTTTCCAAAAGAATGCATCCAATGCAAAGCATGTCTGGCAACAGAGCTAGGATGTCAGTCTTGTGGGCATTTTGGTAATGTGATAGCTGGCTCCATCAACTTATATTAAGGAAATTATGGCTTAGCTATTCAAGGAAGAGGAAAAACAGATGCTACAAATTCTGTCACAAGACTGTAACAAGATAAAAAAGAAAAGTTATTTTGGATCGTCAGTCTTACTGGTCTATCTTGAAGAGATTTGATTCCTTAGTCCTCACCAGACATTGCATACACATGCACAAGGTATATTGTAGGAATGAACACCTAAACCTTTCATTGTAATGTGCATGTCGGGTATGTTTGGAAGCTTTCTGGAGTTGATCTGATGCTTTTCTACATATGCATTGAGACAGTAGTCCTTGCACACAAATTTTAAGCACACCGAGGGAGAAGTATATAGCACACCAAGAACGAACTTATACAGGAACAACATTTGGTGTCAATTTTTTTTTCATTAGAATATTGCTATACCTGTTACTCTTCTATACCAGCATTTCTTTTGTATTTTTGATTATCTTGGGAATGTGAAGCTAGTAAAACCAGAAATGCAAAAGATGGTTCACACCTCTGTCAGGGTCAATATCACCTCTGTGCCAATATAGGTTGTGTAGTTCATTTTTCTATTGCTTTTTGTCAGCGTTTGTCCCTCGTGAAAGTTGTCCCGGTTACCCAATTAGCAGCTACACAGAAATGACATTGAGGAAGTTTACTTTTCCTGACATTTATCCTTCCTTGGTTTGGGGTTGTTTTTTTTTTTCCTTTATTCATGATTTTATTCAGCCACCTAACTGTTTTAATACCCATGGATATCTTAAGTAATTCCTTCTCTGCTCAGCGTTTTCCTATTTAGTTCTGAATATTTGTAGTCTGTCACGTGCCCTGTTGGCCACGGAAGAGCAGATTCTCTGCCTCTTGCACTTATGGTTGAGAACTCTGACATTCATCCCCATCTCTATGGCATAGTCAGTGATTTTCACAGAAAATAATCTTTTCAGGTGTATGTTTGGTGCCAGGTGGTTACCTGCAGAGTGGAGGGGGTTAGCAGGCATCAGACTGCGAGTCTCTGGTGGTATGTCCAAAGACACTGTGCAAACAGCCCTGCGTTCATCTGTCCAGCCTAACCCAGAGAAGGGTTATTCTGCTGTAGAAGGTGTTTAGCCACCTTACATTAGCTATATGCCCAGAAGAATACACCTAGCAACAGAGCACATCAGTATGAGGCTTGTGTAATTAACAGACATCTAGAGTGGAGCTTACATCTCCTTATATCCACCTATGTAAATGTGTCTTGTATCTGTATATGTAGATGTTTAATAGTTAACCATTTACCACAGTTCATGATTTTAAGTGTCACATATTTAGGGAAGCAGACATCTAGCGAGCTATGTAACCCTCCCTGTTCATGTGTCCCTCAGAATATCCAGGTCAGAGTGAAGGTCATACTGGAAAAGGCAGGAGCTGTATCCATGCAGAGAGTCGCTGACGTTCAGACAGTGCCTAATTAGAGAGAAAGATCGCTTTATTTTGTCCAGTTACTCCAGAAAATTTACTGTAACAGTGCAACTGCAGTTGGATGTGATAATGAGCAGTATGTGGTTGTTGGCATTTAGTGTTGTATTTTTCCTTTATATTCCAAAAAAAAAAAAAAAAAAAAAAAAAGAAGAAGCAAATTAAAACGTGTTTAACTTTGTAACTAAGTTCATGGGAAACAGAAGCTAAGTGGAATGCCATTCCCACGGGAATGCCATTCCCAGTGGGTCTTGCTAGCTTGTTTTGGGCTATCTTGGCTTTATTCCCCACTTGGATTTTTTCCAGCCGGCCACACGATGTCGCTTGTGCCCGCGGATGCGGCTCAGCCCCGGCAGCCTGGGAGGCAGCTCCTCAGCGGCTGCGCGCTCAAGTGCGTTGTGGTTGTTTCAAGCTGCTCTTTACCTTAGTGCGTTTTTCCTTGGTAACTGAGGAGTATTATTTGGCGATAGAACAAAACTGTCGCACCCATCTTCTCTGTAGCCAAGAGGCCGAGAAACTGAACTCCGCATTGATGTTCAACACCAGCGTCTTTTCCCAGGCAGGAGCAGCGTTGATAGTTTTGTTGCAGATACATTCATTCTATCTTGCAGGTGTTACAGTCTTTGCCCTCTTGTGTCACTACCATTCAGATAACAGCCAATGATAAGTTTCTGGTTTCCAAACTGGAATGTCTAAGTGACCCATGTAATTCAGTATTCGTCACTATGTCCCTGTGTCAGATGTGGAAACCCCCTGCAGGGCTGAAAGCAAAAGTTCTGCTTGTAGTTTATACTACTCCTCAGATAGTCGATTATGTTTCTAAAACCTCTCTTGCTTTTACAGATCGTGTTCATCTCACTGGTTTAAGTAAGTCAAGTTTATCAAGCCTTCTTTCCTGTGATGAGTTTTCATTGCCCCAGTTATCCTGTAGGCCACTGGTCTGGTGGAATTAATTTAACCCACTTGAACACTGATGAACAAGAACAGCACAAAGGATTCCTCCAGGATTTCCTATCGCTGCCTGAAAATACTATTACTTCCATATCTTACATGTATCAGGACAGGCATTTCCAACTTTTGCCTTTTTTTACACTTATATTAGCAACTCAAGGTCATCTTGTGATTGAGCTATGTATCTAAGCCTGCCTTCTTCCCCATCATTTCCAAATTATGAGCTCTCAGCTTGCATACTAGAAGTATGGGGTATTTATTCGTCCCCAAGTCCATGACTTTTCTGATTAATTATTAAATTTTATCCCATTTCTATTACTCTAATGTTCAAGGTTATCCTAGTTCTTTATGACATCCCAATCCTCCTCTTTATTGGCAATGCTCTGCAACTTTGTGTAGACAGCAAAGTTTATTAGCCCATTACTATTTTTGGTGTCTAGATTATTGGTGAAAACATGAGGCAATTTCAACTCAACACTGGTCCATGCTGACACTTTTCGGTATCAGCTCTGCTCAGTTCTCAGTACCCATTTCTTACATTAAATTATTTCCTTTCTGACCCTATAATTCCTCTGATAAACTCCATCTTCTCCAGATTTGCTTTTAATTCCATGTGCAGCCAAATACCAAACACTATAATGATATCACATTAGATGAAATACAATAAAATGTACGTTATGCAAAAGTAATTTCTCTTAGCAAAGAAAGCTTCCAAGCAAGTCTTGATAAGTTCAAGACCTTCTAGTGGCCTTCCAGTACTTAAAGGGGGCCTACAGGAAAGATGGGGAGGGACTCTTGATCAGGGAGTGTACTGATAGGACAAGGGTTAATGGTTTCAAACTGAAAGATGGTAGATTTAGATTAGATATTAGGAAGAAATTCTTTATGTGAGGTGGCGAGACACTGGAACAGGTTGCCCAGAGAAGCTGTGGCTGCCCCCTCCCTGGCAGTGGATGGGGCTTGGAGCCACCTGGTCTAGTGGAAGGTGTCCCTGCCCAGGGCAGGGGCGGTGGACCTAGGTGATCTTTAATGTTGCTTCCAATCCAATCCATTCTATGATTCCATGATATGAAGTCTGGCACTGTGTCTTTAATTTATGTCAAACCAATTAAAATCTATGTGAACATAATTTATTTTCTGGTTTCTGTGATGGTTTTGTTCAGTCTTTGCTTAAGTTTTCTGTTGGAAGCAAACTGGTGCTTCTCATTATCTTTTTCCCCTCTATAGTTGATGTTCTCCAAGGGTAAGAGGTATTGGACTTGCAATTCGATGTGAGCTTGTTGCTCCCTATTTAAGTACATTAAGTGCTTTGAATTATGTTTCCATCACAACTGTGATTCATTGATGTACCCTTATTCTGTTACTTCCCCTCCTTGCTCAGTACCTAACCTTTCATTCCTAAAAACGGGGGTGAAATACTCCTTCAGTGTTGGAGCCCTACCTAGGTTACCTTTCACCCCTGCTGTGTACTGACATAGTGTAACGCCCAGTGATCACATTTCTCCTTTCCTTGTTCTCTTTTTGTTTGGATAGCTGGAAAACCTTTTGCTGTTTGTTTTAGTATCATTTTCAGTGTTTAACTCAGCTTGACTTCTGGCAGTTCTCACTTTATCTCAGCACATCATGAGCTCTTTGCTGATCCATCTTTTGTTTTTTCTTTCTGTATGCTTATTCCTAATCATCTCCTTAGGATATTTATTAATCCAGCGGGGTCTGGATTCCCTTCCTACCCTTTGGACACAAATTGCTAACATTTTTGACAGAAAGAAGCATTGTACATTCAGTTCTTTGAGCTAACTGACTTCTGTAACTCTTTGCATCAGTTTATCAAAGTTTCCTATACTGGAATCAAGAATGTTTATTATATATGTCTTTGTTCATCTTCTGTTTAATTTAAACTGACTCAGCTTGTCACTTCTATTCAGCATTATTTTTATTAACCAAAAACTAATCTGAAACCCTTTACGTCCTTTCACTGACAAAAGGAACTTCCAAGCTTTCCTATTAGACTCTAAATATTAAAAGTAAGGCTACTCAGTTGTTTCATAGGGACCACACACAGTTTCATAACCATATTACATCCAGTTTGTTCACGGTGACACCACTTTGCCGATTTCTTCTATCTTAAAACTTTCTTTCTCTTGAGTATTTATACTCTCATTGATTTACTATATCTGTTGCCATATCTTCATTTATGCTTTTTTCCCCTTGAATCAATAGGAGTTTTAAAGAAAGCAAAACAAAATTTGTGAGGTTTTTTAAGTGGTAGGGTACTAACCCTTCTTTTTTAAGAAACAACCAAAACCAGACCACATACATCATGATCAGAAGTGATGCAACTCTAAAATGATGGTACCTTTAATTCCATTTTCAAGTCATGGTTTAATACCAAGTTCGAGATTTCAGTAGCTCTCAAATCTGCTTTGCATCATGTAGCTGCTTAAGTCTTCCATAACATGAGTCCCACAACTCGCTTCATGTCATGCCAGGTAAGGTGAGTGCATCCTGCCATGCTGTTATTTATAGACATTGTTACACATATTCATGTACATTAAATATGGAGAAAAGATGAGCATTGCTCAGTTACATTTCATCTCATTAATAGAATGTATGTATTGATCTTGTAAATGCTGTTTCTGGATGCTTTCGTGAATTCTGTGTTTTAGTAGGCTGTAAAGGAATTACAAAGAATATAGCTATATGTTATGTCTTTTACAGGATTTCCATATTCTAAATCTGCTTCTCTACCTGGCTATGGAAAGAATGGCTTACATCAGGTAGGTATTTAAATGCGTTCTCCAGGCAATAGTGTATCATAAATAGGCAGCTTAGTAACTAGTTGAAAATATACACAGTAATAACACTTCAAAGGTGTTTTGCCTGCCAGCCCTGTCTGACAGATTCATACCTTATGTGGGATACAGTTTGTCTGTCTGCAAGAGTAAGACAGACTGAGGCTTCTCCTTTTAATTGTGTGCATCATGAGCGTTAGGAGTCTTGATTCTCCTCCCAAAACAAGCAAAGGTCCAAAATGTACAGGCTGCACGTGTTAATAAATCACAGTATAGCTTGAATTGATGATAGAGAGGGTTAGGCCTATAATTAGCAAGTAATGATTTTAGAGGAAAGGTGGAGCAGCCCACATCCATTGCATTTCTTGAACCATCTGCTCTGCTTTTTTCCAGTATGCGTGTGTGTGTGTATTGCTCCTTCCCTGCCTTAAAAGCAGCACAACTGTGTGTGTGTGTATATATATATATATACACACACACACACACACACACATGTGCATGGCAGGCCGCAAAATCTAGAAAAAAAATGCTTTGATAGAATTATGATCAGAGCAGGCTAGGCATTCCTTTTCTGATCCTTTTTTATAATTTTTCTAAGTCCCTAGTAAAAAAGGCATCTTTGACACTGTGGTCTCTCTTTCTCTCTGGCATCTAACATTATGGGTTCTCAGTTCATGGCTTGTATTTTTAGGTACAAACCTAAAGTTGGCAATACATAGATGCAATACATAGAATCACATGCACTTACATTTTGAAGACTGATTTGTGTCTAAATTACATGGACAGGACCTCATTCAAATTCCTTCCTTTCTCCAAAGGAAGATATGAAAGCTGTAAAAGTACACAAGCAGGATCAAACTTCCCTAGTGACAAGAGTCAAACTGCAAATCATCGAAAGGAGCTACAAGAAAGCATCTGTCAGAGAGTAGCTAAATAAATTTTTCGGCAGCAACCGAAATGTCTATCCCTTTGAGTTAATTTGACAAGACTTCTTTGCATTGCTTCAATGCCTGGCCGCTTGAATTCCTCTCTGAAGGAACCAGTGGCACTGCAACTTGATCAAATGAGATTTAGGAATTTGAAAGGCTCTAGATAAACCTGTCCCCACCTATGAGACAAAAGCTTTTTTCTGACTTTTCAGAATAACTATTACCAGTAACCTGAAGCGAGTGAGGGACGGACCTGAGCCCAGCCACTGTGCTGGTGAGGCACCAAAGCCATCAGAAGGCTTCATTCACACAGATGAGGCCAAAGCAAACTGCATCAGCAGTGGAGCTGGCAGCGCTTGCAGGCTGAAGCCGCGCAGTGTGATATGAAAGCAGCAGATGGCAGCATTTGTCCCACCTATGGATCATTCGTCCCCAGCCTCACAGCCGAAAACTAGGAAAGTTGAAAAGGTTGCTCATGGTCAAATCCTTGAGGCCAAAATTCTTCTCAGAATGGATGTCCTCTGTTTGGAAGCATACCAGCTTTTGTGGTTTGTTATTTTTAATCAGCCATCCCTGCGCTGTGTAGCAAAATAAACCAAAACCAAACAATAAGTAGCCTTGCAGGTTATTGTGAGCATAACTATGCACACTGTTGATACCCTAACAGGCAAAAATGAGACTCGAGGGGGGAAAAAAATCGTATAATAGGGCTTTTCTGATCTCCTGTAATGTTTTTCATCATAGCATTTTCCAGCAAAGGAAAAAGACAGTGGATCAAACAAAGCTATGGCACATATGCACAGTTCTCCCTGGTCTGAGTGGCATCAGCAGCATGAAGCAGAAAGCAGAATGAGACAAATTTCAGTGCAGCATAAGTGATTTGTGATGATGGCAGGGAAAGGCATGCAACAATTTCAGTCTTACCTTACTGCCACGTCTTCAAAAGGGGATGGCTGGTGGCTTTTGGACACCTTTCTGCCTCACTGAAAGCTGCGAGGAATTAGAGTTTGAGAACAGCCAAAGGGCTTAGGGGAGAGGTGGGTTGATATGACGCTGCAGTTGCCTCTCTGACATCCAAGCTCCAGCTTTTGCTGGTCTGTGGGAGTTCACAGCATAGGCAGCGAACTGCACCTGCAGTGCCTCCCGGGACCCAGGCGCTCACTTGATGCTCCATCCTCTTCTACAGGCAGAGCTCCTTCCCTGTGATTGTAGATCGATGGGTGTTGTGAGCACTCAGGGTGCCTGCTTTGAGCAATTAGGTCAAGTTTGAATGAAACTTTATTGTCTTTCTCTCTTGCAAGGATCTGTATTTTGATTGTGTGGTGCCAGCTGGTTTTCTTTTTTTCTCTCAACAATGTGCCGAATGGTTTTGTGGTATATTTTGCTGCTGCATTGCTTCTTTCTTTCTCTTTCAGCCTGAAAATATGGGCCAATATGAAACAGACCAGGAGGCAAGCTGGGGGATGAAAGGTACCTTGCAATGTCATTTCCACTCTACTTCATGTTTTCTTCCTTTGAGGATGCTTGTTGATGTATTGCTATAAAGGTTATTATTCTGAGATCTTCTTGTAGTTCACGTAATAATGACTAGGCAGAGATCCAGCTCAGTATCATGTTTATCACAAAGAATCTTCTTTTTATCTAACCGAACATAAAGGCCTGACTGAAGTCCTGCCTCATAAAGTGGTGCAACCAGGCTGAGTCAATCCCAGTATCCTCAATAGATGGCAACAGCCTCTGTGGTGGTGGTCTCATATCAGAGAGAGAAAGAAATTTAATATAATCACTCCTTCAAGTCATATCTAATTTAAAAAAAAAAATCCATTGTGCTTCTTGTTTGTGCTACAGTGTGGTTAAAATATACAGAATTCAAAAAGCAGAATTTTTTTGCATTTTTTTTTATTACAGTTTAAGTGTGCTGTGAACTTAATATGGAACTTGGGTCGGAATTTTCAAAAGACCTGAGCAATTTAGGAACATGCATCTGCTCATAGGGAAGAGTAGAATTTTGTTTCCAAGACTCTTAATTTCATTTTAAAAGTCTTCCTCTAATGCTTCTCTTCATGCCTCTGTGTTGATACAAATCTTTGCCCCTATGTTTGAATAGTTTAAAGTACAGATTTTGAAAAGTAGACCATCTCTAATTTCATTTCAGACCATAAAAAGTCTATGAAAACATACTAGCTATCCTCGTTGAATTTATTCATCGTCGTGAATAGATGACCTTATAGTAGTCATATCCTGTATAGTCATATACTGGCTTAACTAGAATACTCTTGTGCTACTTTAGATCCAGGAGTCATTGTCCCCACACCCCCAAATCATCTTTTCTTCACTGTCGTTATTCCCACTGCCCAAGTGCAGAATGTTGGCATTGTGGAGTGGTTTTCATATATGTTCCCAAACTGACATGGCTGTAATAATCCATTTATTTTAACTGTTTTCAGTAAAGAACAATAAAGGCAGGACTTTTGGGTGACAGACTGACTTAACCCTGCACAAAAGCCTCCTGTAAAAAGAAATTCCCAGTTTTGCCAGACATACTCACTGTGTAACCCAATGGCATCAGGAGATGAGTTTTCTGTAATAACCCTTTGATTTCAAGGACTGTTGCTTTGGTAATAGATAGTGTTATAGGCATTCAGGGCATGAGGGTCAAATGCTTACTATGCATGCAGTTATCCAACAACTGTTGAGAGGAGGGAAATCTCATAGCATAACAAATAGCTGATGTACCTAAATGTTCATTGTGGTGACTCCAAAAGAAGCCTGTAAATTCTAAACTGTGAACCTGTTCTCATTCTCTTGCAGAATACAAGGTAAGAAGGGCTTTTCCAACACTGGAAGAACAATCAGATTCAGCACTTCCTAGCAAGGTTACATGTGTTCTTTTTTTATTTTATTTCATTATCTTTTGTCCCAGTGAAATATTTGTCAAATCAAGATACAAGTATGTACCATTTAAATTAGTAAGTTCCCCACACTGTCATTTCCACACAGAATCATATTTGGCTGGAGTTCATGTGCTCTTGTCTTTTTAACAGATTTATCCTTACGAAACACTTATTGTAACAAACCGAGTTCGTGTGAAATTGCCTAAGGATGTGGACAGGACCAGGCTGGAGGTAGGAATGATATTTACTTGATGAATTTGCTAGTCTTTGTCCTGTTCATTTACCATCTTAGATATTCCTGTGCCCAAGTAATAGCAATGAAAGAAGAGAAAAGAAAAGAATAACATTATCTATTATACGTTATTTCAGAACATTAGTATGTAGGCAATTTAACTAAAAAAGAATAGTCAAAAACCTGGCAAATGTCTGGCCAAATGGTGTTTTACAAAGATACTGATGAAACCAATTAGTTTTGGATATTAAAGTTGGAATGGGGCAGGTGAAAACTTGGGGGTTTTAATTCTTATAAAAAACACCCTCTTAGAAAAAACCCGAGTATTGTAAAAAAAACTTCATTTATCCTGCAAATTCGTAGACCTATGTTTCTGGTCCATTGTCTTATTCAGCCTCTCCTTGGGCTGTGTGATCTGTGATGGCTGTGCTACAGGTTTGCTGTAGCATCCACCTGTCTCAAAGAGCAGTAGTTTAAGCTGGAGAAATGCAGGCATAATTCATCATAAAGGAAAGCTTAGTTTCCATAAACCAAATCCTGAAGTTGATGTTCAGGCAAAATTAATGAGATTGGTTTTTTTGACTGAGTAATGAGAGGACTGAATAAAGACTCATCTAAATTATTAAACTAACATATCTTTGTGGGAATTACTATTAAGAAGAAGAGATACTTCAATAAAAATTATGTGACTTTGGGAAGATTTATGTTTAAATAAATTTATCATATTTTTAACTTGATAATGTGACAAGAAAGAAACTTTAATCTTAAAGCAAAAAAGAAGAAAAACTATGAAGCAGCAGAAATTTCCTCATTAAAGATCAATTAAAAAAAAAATCATTAACCGAATTCTTATACATGTAGTCTATTTTGGAAATAGTGTTATATCTTTAAATACTTCAGTGTGCTTGTCGCTTGATTACCCGGGAACAAGCCTGGGGTATAGCAAGGCATGACAGCAATAATAAAAAGCCTAAGTCCAGCAAAAGGAGCAGGGAGTTGGAGGGATACTCATCTGGACACATCCTGTAAAGGATTCTTTTATATATATGTATATCTCTATGTGTATGTGAGTGTATACTAAAGAATAGAGTCTTTGTATAAAGACATCAGACTGGTCTGAATAGCAAATGCGGCTCCAAATTACTTTTTTAATGCAACATATAGTTTGCCTTGGATGGATCACGCCTGTCCTGGCTGCCATTATCCATAGCACATACAGTGTCCTCAGCTGGGATCTCTGTTTGTTTGACTTTGGAGTTGTTCAGTCTTCCTTGCACCAGGTGCAGCCCAGTGCCTGATGGCTCAAGGAGCCTGACCACTTCAAAGATCTCACAGAAGTTTTTTGCGAAAAAGAACAATAAACAAGATCTGCTTCAAACCTGCACCAGAAAAGCGATAAGGGGACCAGACTGACCCTGCTGATTGCTGCACTATGTTAAACATGTGTGTCTGCAGGAAGGACTCCTTTGTAGACCATCTTACATTTGTTAGGGATTGGTAGCTTTTTAAACAATTAAATTAGCAGTGTTTAAATAGGATTATAACTACTGGAAAAACAGAGGCAGCAGCTCATCTACACATTCAAACCGTATGCAGAGTTGAGTGACAGGCACAAACTGGTGCCTTCCCTGATGGCCTCTTCCCCTCCTCCCTGTCCTTTCCTTCTGCATTACAGAATTGATGGAAATAAGTAGCTTTGTGTACGAAAGCAATTTGTCATTGTTTCCTCTTGTGGGAGAAGAAGAAGATTGTAACTTAATTGCTGACTGGTGCACTCGACAGATTTCAGGCTTGGGCAAGACCCAGGACTTAGGGAGCCCAAGACTGCATGGGTTTGTAGGTTTGCATAGGAACAGATCAGGATTAGACACACACACACACATACGCAACCCCCCCATCTGTTAGTAAAAGACCCACTTAGCATATCTTGGTATATTCAGGCTTTTGGGGGCAACACTGGGAATGCTGGAAGCAGGTACTAAGGTTAGATTTCACCTTTTCTTGAGTTCCATTTCACATAAGCTAGAGGGTATGATTTGATGCTCATGAATCCCTAGGAGGCAAGTGCTATCTCTGAGCAGAACTGGTTACCAGCTGATCCTCTGTTTTCATCCTGCATGTCCAATATTACTTGTGAAAGGGCTGGATTGTGCCTGAAGAAATTTGGAAAGGTGATAGCACTGATAAGCCCGTGTATTACCCAAACTGTGAAGTGATTTATCTAGGAAAATCTTTTAAGAAATAATCCATGTTCTAATATTCCAGTTTTGATCTGATCAGTTTTGCGGGCTGAAGCCTCACCTTGCTCTCGCTGCTCCAGATCAGAACAAGTGTGGTGGCTGAGGACAGGGTACACGTGATGTCAGTGAAAGGAGACCTGGAACCTGTGTTTATATATATCAAACCTGAAAGTCTTCTTAGCGTGTCCAGTATGATTAGAATATCTCACATGTGATGTTCCTGATTTCCTGGTATACTTAGGAGCAATTAGGTGACTGGATCTGCATGAGCTAGATTTATTTAACAGCCCTCTTGCAAGTTGACTTGAAGTGGGCTCCTGTTTGTGAAACGGTTTGTTGTGAACTTTGAACAATCCAGCATAGATAATCACGGAAAAAAGCACTGTTTGTCTCTGATCCCCTCTTCCAAGGGAAGTCTCCTATATTGAGTGTTCCTGTTCTGAAAATACATAGCATTAGCTCCTTGAGTTAAATTAAGGGAGGCTGCAATGAAGGCCTCGGCTAATGGTCAAGGCCCACAGGAGGGTGGGGTTTTAATGGGTGGTAGTGTTTTCCTAACTTTGCTCCCATTGTGAGTATTTTTTAGATTACGATGTTTTGCAAGAAATTTATTTTAAGGATGATAAAAAATATTTTCTTGTAAAAACGCATATTTTTCTAGGCTCAAAAGGTATCTAGAGATTAGGAAGGCTCAAATGGTAATAAATGCATTCAAATAATAGGAATTCTTTCTTCAAAAGCACACGTCTAAATGTAGAAACACTTGGCATGTTTTTGTTTGCTTGTTCTAACTCAGCAGTGAGGCAGAAGCACCCAGTTCCTTGTGCTCCTCCAGGAGATGTTTATGCCAACAGTGAACTAATATATACAGCATTGAGAACTAGTTGTAATAAATGACCTGCTGATTTTAAATACATTACTTGTACTCAGGCTTTTGAATGAATAGCCTGGATCTTTGTTTAATATAAGCTGATTAGAAATGTGGGGAATTTATGCACAAATAGGGATTTGGCCCATGAATTTTTTAGAAGTTTCTTTCTACCACAGTGCTGTTTATTCTAACGTTAGATGAATGGAGCAGCTTTCCCTTGAGCTATTCTAACAGGAAATGGTGAAGAGCAAGTTAATTCAGATACTGTTGCAGAACAACAAAGCAGTAGCACAGGGTTGGATTGTACAGTCTGAGTGAAGAAGAGGAGTTGCACCCTCACTGCAAATGACACAAACCTGAGGGAACCAGAGTTGATGCTCAGGTGAGCAGAGCCTCTCTTCAGAGGGACTTGGCCAGGCTAGAGGAATGGGTCAACAGGGACTTCATGAAGTTCAGTGAAGGTAAATCCAGATTCCTGTGCTTGTGGCAGAATAATGCTATTCATCTGCACAAGATGGGGGGAACAGTTCTGCAGAAAAGTACCTGATGGTCCTAATGGAAAACAAAGCTGAACCTGAACAGCAGCTCACCTTTACAGTAAAGAGGTTATAGAGGAAAACATACCCTTCACAGAAGTAGGCACAAGAAGACCAAGAGGCAACAGTTCCAAGTTGCAGGAAAGGATATTACAATTAGATATAAGAGTTCCTCACTGGGAGAGTAGTGCACTGGAACAGATTGCCCAAGAGGCTGTGGAGTCTCCATCCCTGGAGGCATGCAAAACTCGGCTGGCAAGGCCTTGAGGAACATGGTCTATTTTTAAAGTTGGCCCTGCTTTGAAGACCTCCATAAGTCCCTAATTTGCTTAGGCTGGTATATTCTGTGAAGACAAAGATTTAACATAATATAATTACAAGATAGGATTATTTGGTGCTCTTGCTGCAGTAGCATTTGAAAAAATACATAATTTTGTCTGTCTTGGAACATTTTATCAAAAGGATCATTTTATTATGCAGGGGCTTAAATATAAGTGTCCTGCAGCAAACTTGCCTATTTTGGACAACTTAAGTCCTGAGTTTCCAGAGACTAAGACATCACCTTTGGGTAGTACACATTAGCACATTCCTTACCTGCTGGTTTCCCAGTGTTCCACATAGCCTGTTTCTTTTTCCCAAAGGAAATTTGGCTTATGGACACTTTTGAAAATCTCGATACCGCTTTTAAGTGCCTGAATACCTTTTATGATTTAGACCTTGGGCTCCTAAAAGCATGCACTTGATACTTTTTTCTTAGATTGGATATTGTTTGCCTGTTGTTCAGTCACAGCAATATGGTTCAGTGCTTGCACATCCAAATTGATGGTTCATGTCCAGCTGCATAGATTTTTATGGTTTTTTCCTCCTGAACTTGCTTTTATCACAGAATATAAGGTTTCTTTTGTGGTCACAGGCTGGTAGTTTTGAAAGCCAACATAGTTAGAGTCTTCCATTTGGAAATCATCTTCTAGTGTTTTACTTTGATTTTCTTATCTTAATGTATCTTAGTTTCTTTAGCCTTTTCTTTTGAATGTCAGAGAGTTAAAAGCATTATTCATTCATGCCTATCAAATACAGTAGAAAGTAAATTATTCCACTTCTGTTTGAGCCTGTTCATTCTTTGTTTAACATGGTTACACTGAAACAATTGCTAAGGAAAAAAATATTCTGGAATGTCAAGTAGCAAACCTTCATCTGCCACCTTGTTCTCTTGTAAACAGAAATGAGAGATTTAAACATGGGTGCGGTCTTGTTTGAACAGAGCACTCACATTAATTCAAACATGCTTTTTCTCCTGAAACTGCTTGTCTGGATTTGTTTTAGGGATGACATTTTTTCCACTAGTTTTTATT